AGAAGATTTTCTAGAGGTACAGATGCTAGTTTAGGACATAGAAGACCTAGGTTCAAGACCTTGATCCATTAAAGGTTTTGTGTGTGCCCTTATACACGTCACTTGGTCTCTCCACACCTCAGTTGCCCATCTGTAAACAGGAACAATAACACTTCTCACAGTGATGTTGTGAAGATGGCATTAAAACCTGTATTCACTTATTACAATAATGAGGTACACATAAATGCCTGTGGTCGACCTGAGTGAGCTGTTTGTACTGAATTCTTACGTTTTCCACATGGCTATGAGCCCTAAGTAATCCTTTAAATGGAGTCAGCTAATCTAAATTTTAGCCTCGGGTTACAGGCTAACCTGTTTAATTATTTAATTTCCTCTCCCCTGGGAGACTCATATGAGGGGGAAAGAAGTCCAGAAAAGTGGGCTGTATTTTAAAGAAGCCTTATTGAGGGTGCAGGAACAAACCATCCGAATGTGCGGAACGAACAGCAAATATGGCAGACGACCAGCTAAACAGAGACATTTTCAGTGAGTGTAAACACAAAAGGGAAACTTAAAAGAAGGGGAAACCAGGGGCCATTTCATGGTAGGGAGTGAAAGTATGGGGGAGGGAGGCAGACTGAGGATAACAGCTTCAGCTGTGTTATGGAACATGCTCAGTACCAGCCAAGCAGCAAATTGGGGGGAACCGACGCTTTTTGCACTCTCTCCCTTCCACGTCACCTCTTTCCAGAAGCTACTAAAGCACATGAAAACTAATATTTTTATAGATAACTTAGCAATGACCTGACTGCAGCACTGTATCCAATTCCTATATAAAAGAAAGAAGATTGAAGAAATATTAGATCCAGTCAGATCACTAGTTAGTATTAAAATTCTAATGTATTCAGTAATTCCTCATTTAACACTATACATGTGTTTCAGAAAATGATCGTGTTAAGTGAAAACGTGTAACGTGGGGTCAATTTTCCCATTGAAAATAATGGAAAAGGTGGAGATTGCATTTCAAGTGGTTGGGGGAGAAAAGGGACTGAGTTACAGCAGGGAGGGGAGGTGTTTGGGGAAGGAAAGGGGAGGACAGGGGAAGGGGCTTGCAGCTGGGTCAGACCAACGGTCCATTTAGCCCGGAATCTTGTCTTAAAACAGTGGCCAATGCCAGATGCTTCAGAAGTCAAACAGTAGAGGCAATCGTCAAATGATCCATCCCCTGTAGCCCTTTCCCAGTTTCCGGCAAAGAGAAGCTAGGGACACCATCCCTGCCCTTTCTGGCTAGTAGCCATTGATGGACCTATCCTCCTTGAACTTATTTTGTTCTCTGTGACATCCTGCTATAGTTTGGGCCTTTCCACATCCCCTGGCAAAGAACGCCACAAGCTGACCATGAAGAAATAATTTCCTTTGTTTTAAATCTGCTGCCTATAGGTTTCATTGGTTGAACTTCTTGTGTTATGTTAGTGAAGGAATAAATAACATTTCCTTATTCTATTTTTCCACACCACTGATGATTTTCTAGACCTCTAACATACTTCTCTACCCCTTTAGTCATTTCCTTTCCAAGCTGGGAAAAGTCCCAGTTTTTTTAATCTCACCTCATATGGAAGCTGTCTCTTATCCCTAATCGTTGCTGTTGCTTTTTCTGAACCTTTTCCAAATCCAATGTATCTTTTTTTCTCATGGGGTGATCAGATATATGCAGTGTTCAAGATGTGGGCATTCAATTACTTTATAACTAAGCAATATGATATTTTGTCTTACTACCTATTACTTTCCTAATGATTCCCAATATTCTGTTAGCTTTTTATTTTGCCACTGCACATCGAACAGATGTTTTCAGAGAACTATTCACAATGAGTCCAAGATCTTTTTCTTGAGTGGTAACAGCTATTTTAGACCCCATCATTTTTCTATCTACAGTAGGAATAATATTTTTCCTTGTGTATTGCTTTGCATGTATCAACACTGAATTCTGTCTGCCTTTGTGTTGCCCAGTCACAATCACTCAGTTTTGTGAGATCCCTTTGTAACTCTACGCAGTCAGTTTTGGACTTGCCAATTTTGAGTAATTTTGTATCATCTGCACATTTTGCCACCTCACTGTTTACCCGTTTAGCAAGATCATTTATGAGTAAATTGAACTGCAGGGGTTCAAATGCAGGTTTTCTCCTATATTTTTAATGGAGTACCTGGCAATGTTTTCATGATCATCTAACGATCCTTCAATTAGAGATGTAGACTATTGTTTAAAAAGTTAACTGGTTTAACACTATGTTTAACTGGTTAACTGTGGCTGCCCCCCCTCCCTGCACTCGCAGCATGACACAGCAAGCCTGGCTAGGCTGGAGCAGCGCCCACCTATGGCATGGTTGGCCAGGCTGGGCTGGAGCAGCCTTCCCCTGCCCCCAACCTCGTAGCATAATGCAGGTGGGGGGCTGCTCCAGCCCAGCTGGGCTTGCTGTGCCACGCACTGCTCAGGCCAAGCTGGGCCAAGCTTGCTGGTAGGGACTGCTTGGGCTGGAGCAGCCCCTTGCCTACTGGTTAACCCCTTTATGTCCCTACCTTCAATTACTTGAATGACAATCCTTTTATTATCTTAAATCACCTTGCCTCCCTCCTTTTATAAACAAACTCCCTGCCCCAAAGACAAATCTGGAAGCAGCCAAACTCTTGCAATTAAATTTAAAAAACAACAAATGGTCTGGTAGCACTTTATAGACTAGCAAAACATGTAGATGGTATCATGAACTTTCATGGGCATAGCTCACTTCTTCAGATGACCAGAGTTTTGGGTTTTAAACTTTGGTCATCTGAAGAAGTGGGCTGTGTCCACAAAAGTTCATGATACCATCTACATGTTTTGTTAGTCTAAAAAGTGCTACCAGACTATTTGCTGTTTTTTAAGTTTATCCTGTAAAGACTAACTTGGCTACCCCCTGAAGCTCTTGCAATTAAGACATGCCTCTGGAATTAGGGTGTGTGCTTTAAGCAGATGTCAAGTATGAAATCCAGGGGTCTCAAACTTTACAGGGGCTGCAGCTCTCAACCCCCCACCCCATCCTTTCTAAATGGCACCTTTGGTGGAAACTTGAACAGATAACTGGGGGAGGAATATAAAACTATGGCTCAAGCATTCAGGGGTGTAATCAGGAAGGCCAGACCACAACTGTAATTGCAGCTTGCAAGGGACACGAAGGATAACAAGAAGGGTTTCTACAGGTTTGTTAGGAACAAGAAGGTGGTCAGGGAAAGTGTGCAACCCTTACTAAATGGGGAAAGCAACCTAGTGAGAAATTATGTGGAAAAAGCTTCCGTACTCCATTTTGTTTTTAACCTTGATGTTCACAGACAAGTTTAACTCCCAGACTGGGCAGCACACTATGGGGAGGAGGGATGCCTCCCTCAGTAGTGAAAGAATGGGTTACGGACTTTTTTTTAGAAAAGATAGACATGCACAAGTCCATAGGATCGAATGCAATGCATCCAAGGATGCTGAGAGTTGGCTGATGTAGTTGCAGAGCCATTGGCTATTATCTTTGAAAACTCTTGGCCCAGATGATTGGAAAAAAAGCAAATGTAGTGCACATCTTTAACAAGGGGAAGGAGGATGAGGATGTGGGGAACTACAGACTAGCCATCCTCACCTCAGTCTCTGGAAAAATCATTGAGCAGGTCCTCAATAAATCAATTTTGAAATAACTGGAGAAGAGAAAGGTGATCAGGAACAAGTAAATATGGATTCGTGACAAACCTGATTGCCTTCTATAATGAGATAACTGGCTCTATGGATATGGAGATAGTGGTGGATGTGCTACATCTTGACTTTAGCAAAGCTTTTGAATCCATCTCCCATAGTATTTTTGCCAGCAAGCTAAAGTAGTATGGCCTGAATGAATGGACTATAAAGGTGGATAGAAAGCTGGTTAGATCATTGACTCAAGGGGCAGCAATCAATGTCTAGTTGCTTGATGTGTCCAGAGCTTACTGTCTAGTTGACAGCTGGTATCAACTGGAGTGCCCCAGGAGTTGGTTCTAGGATCAGTTTTATTTAACAGCTTCACTAATTATCTGAATGATGGATCTGAATGCACCTTTGGCATGTTTGTAGATAACTCTAAGCTGTGGGAAGAGGTAGATATGTTGAAGTTCGGGCTCTAAGCTGTGGGGAGAGGTAGATGTGTCGAAGGATTAGGATAGGGTCCAGAGAGACTTAGACAAATTAGAAGATTGGGCCAAAAGAAATCTCAGGTTCATCAATGACAAGTGCAGAGTCCTACACTTAATACGGAAGAATCCCATGCACTGCTGCAAGCTGGGGACTAACAGGCTAGGCAGCAGTTGTGCAGAAAAGGGCCTAGGGATTACAGTAGATGAGAAGCTGGATGTGAGTCAACAGTGTTCTCTTGCTGCCAAAAAGGCTAATGGCTTATTGGGCTGCATTAGTAGGAGCACTGCCAGCAGATCAAGGGAAGTGATTATTCCCCTCGATTTGGCACTGGTGAGGACTAGTCTAGAGTATTGCTTCCAGTTTTGGGCCCCCACTACAGAAAACATGTGGACAAATTGGAGAGAGTGCAATAGAGGGCAATGAACATGATTAGGGGGCTGGGACACATGATTTATGAGGAGAGGCTGAGGGACCTAGCCTTAAGTTGTTTTCAGAAGAGAAGAGGAGGGTGGGGTGGAATTTAATAGCAGCCTTCAAGTAACAGAAATGGGGTTTCGAGAGGATGGAGCCAAGCTGCTGTCAGTGGTGGCAGATGACAGAACAAGGAACAATGGTCTCAAGTTACAGTGGGGAAGGTCTAGGTTGGATATTAGGAATAACTATTTCTTTAGGAGGATGATGAAGCACTGGAATGGGTTACCTAGGGAGAGGGTGAAATCTCTACTAGGGATGTTAAATTTAGGTTAACTGGCTAATCGAATAGTCTACTAGCAGCAAAACAGTTTGAACGTTCACATTCAGTAGAACCTCAGAGTCACAAACTGACCTGTCAAGCACATACCTCATTTGGAACTGGTAGCATGCAGTCAGGCAGCAACTGAGGCACTCCTCCCCTTGAAAGAAAATACTGTGTTAAATGTAAACTACTTACCAAATAAAGGGAAAGCAGCATTTTTCTTCCATATCGTAAAGTTTCAAAGCTTATTGACTCAATGTTTAGTTGTAAGAGCTTTTCAAAGGACAGCCATAATATTTGGTAAGAGTTACAAACATTTTATGTTTAAGAGGTACAAGCATTCCATCAACTACACAAAGAAACATTTCAGAGTTACAAACAACTTCCATTCAAGAGGTGTTTGTAACTCTGAAGTTCTACTGCAATCCAAAGTCTGGCCACCACTTTGAAAATTTTCATCCAACTCTATCCAATAACTTTTCTGTTAAGAAGGACTAACTCCAGGTCTACACTTACAGTAGAGTGCAGCGCATATATGTCCTCATGGCATGGGTATGAACAGTTGCGTAGATGGTGAGGCAATGTTTGGTGAGCAGAGTAAAGACAAATCAGAGCCTTAAGGTATAGACCTAACATGGCACTCTGCACTCCTAAGCAGTGCCTCTGTCATCTACATTGCTATTTTTCGAAGTGTAGCATCAGGCTGCCTCTCCATTCCCACAGCCTTTCCCCACTTCTTCCCCCCAACACTGACTTTTACGGCAGTGTATTGCTACACCCACCCTATGAGCCACCAGCAGTTTAAATGCTACCTAAGTAACGATGAAATACTGATGTGTCTTCTTTCTTTTACAGAAGATTGACATTCTATGAGAAACTCAGAACAGCTCCAACACACTGGCAAGAAGCTGAGTAAAAGAAGTGCCCCAGTTAGCTAGAATCTAGGGTATCCTTTAAGCAGACAGAAGTATGCTTCATAGATGACACACTGTCTCTTCCCACACCACTGACACTGCTGGCTGAAACCAGTTTTCAATTGGCAAAACTGTAATGTCTGTAGAAATAAGATAGTTCTTCTATGATGATGTTTAGAACAAGGCAGCAACCTAGACAAGAGAAAGGTTTTTAATCCATTTAGTAAAGTTATATTCTATCTGCCCTGGTGACACAACTGTGCCAAATAGAACCACTTTATAAATGGCATTTTCAGCAGTGTAGATAAGGCTTGCAACAAAGTGGCTTGCCCCTAAGGTCTGAGAGGCCTGCAGCCAGCCAACCCTGATTAATAAGAAGTCACTTCTGAGAGGAATCAGATGTTTTCCATTAGAAGAGCATCAGGAAGCTACAGAAAGAGGGAAGCTTAGGAACTGTACCAGAGGCTGGGGAAAAGTTCCTGCAGGAAAGACTCTGAAAGCAGGGGAGCTGCTCCAGCTAGCCAGGATGACAGGGAGTAGCGTGCTAAGACAGGAGGGAAATGACCTTCACACCAGGGGAGTTTGGAAGTCAGAGATTAAAAGCTAAGTTACAGCCAGGAAAGTCTGGGAGAGGTGACTGAATTGGGACCCCACTCTGTGAAGGAGTGCTAGAAACTCCCTATGTGCAAGGGAAAGGAAAAAGGGGGAGAGAGAGAAAGAAGCAGACACACAGAACTGCAGCTGGGGACTGGAAGGTCAGACTGTGTGACTGAAGAAACTGAACCCAGGGGGGAAATGTTTAAACTACCTTTGGTCTGAAAGTGTGTAATTCTTACAGGGTCCTGAAGAAAGGGAAAACGGAGGCAGGGTGTTGCAGAGTGTTGTCTTGCCATGAGGGAGTGCTCAAGAATCAGCGTACCCCCTTACAGGGCTATTCCTGTTTTCCTGTTCAATCTTATTTTTTTGGTTGAGTCATCCAAGAATGACCACTTCTCATCTCTACCAAAAACCCAGCAAGAACTATAAACACTAGCAGAAAGAGTTACTTGGCTTGTCTCTCAACATGAGAGAACTGCAGAGCTATAATTTAAATCTCTTGGAAAGAGACAGTACAGACTGGCTTCTTTTGGGACTTAGTCGTCAGTCAGATGAACTACATCACAAGCTCTCTCTCGCCACCAAAACATTCCTAGATCCCAGAAAACTTCACAATCAGGCTATGTCTACACTGCCCCCTCTTGCTCAAAAAAATGTGCAAATGAGGCGAAGCGTGGAATATCGCTGCACCTCATTTGCATAATTAATAAGGCTCCATTTTTGTGTAAGAGGCGTTTGCACAAAAAAGGAGCTGTCTACACCGCTCCTTTTGGTGAAAAAACCCTTCTTGCGCAAGAGCCGTTCTTCCTGAAAAAAGGGGAAGAACGGCTCCAGCGCAAGAGGGGGGTTTAGCGCAAAACCAGAGCCTAATTAATTATGCAAATGAGGTGCAGCAATATGCCACGCTTTGCCTCATTTGCATTTTTCTGTGCAAGAGGAGGCAGTGTAAACATAGCCTCAGGATTCCATGTTTTTGTCTGTAAAACATGTTGTCTCATTCTGAAATGAATGTGTCTTCATTATAACTCATTCAAAAACATGAAGATAACGAGACTGTGTACTAGAAAAGGAGAAGAAAAGATGGAAACAAACTCACCAAGGACAAAAGTTAATTAAAGCATCTAAGGAAAAGTAATGGCAGCAAAGTCACAGGCATTATGCTACCTAAGGAGTTAAGTGAAGTAAGGTAGGATTTTTACAAGTGCCTTATTAAATTAGAAAGTCATTCCATAAAAAAAGGAGGTCTATAACGTCAAGATTTAAAAATCTCTAACCACATTTCAATCGTTTCAAACTTGTTGTTTCAAGACTTTCTAAACAAAAATCCTTTATGGGTGACAACTAAACAAAAGCATTTCAAACTTCTGTTAGGATAGCTGCTACTTATCCTGCTTCATCAAAGATCTAAAAGCACTAACCAGACCATCCAGCATTCTAGAAATGAATGGTCTGCAACTTTTCAAATTAACCGACTAGACTGCAAAGGGCTGGAATATACATGGGGACACCTTATAAATTAAGTGCCCCATTTTTCTATTATATTGGTCAATATAAAGAAAAAAAAAGAAAATCTTGCAAATGGTAAGCCATATCATTTCTTCCATAAGTCTTGCCATTGGAGAAGTTATATTAAGAAATCTCTACAAGGATTTCTTCTTACTGACCCAATCGGGGCATTTGTTGCTGCTTCACAGAAGTCACATGAAGGCTGGGGTCAGAAGACTCAGTGGGGACCAGGGCGACCCACACAGAAGCTTTATATCCCTGATGTGGCTCTGGTACGGTAGCCACACTCTCAGACTTCCTGCAGCAGTGGCTCTCTGGCGTGTGAAGGATGACGAAGCACTGTATTAACTTTTTGGGCCATGTTCTGCAATTCCAGAGAGATGCACAATATCTTGCCAACAATACCTCTTCCTTCCCAACCCTACATCGATCTCCGGTGAAAAGTTCTCTGCTGAATTTGGGATGGCAATCATGTGAAGACACATGTGCTGAAGGAAGGGAGACCTGCACATGGAAGATTTCTCTACATGTAAAATTCAAGAAGGGCATGATCTGGACAAGTGGATTTACAGGTTTTACATCATTTGAACATATAAAATCAAAATAGTCTGGACAAATCAAAAATGTCCTTAAAGCCAAGATGCTTGCTTAAAAAAATATCCCACATGGATCAATTTTAGCCTGCCCAAATAGAGTCCCTTTAGTCGGTCTAATTTTCGTTAATAAAATATCTAAGTACCATACTCCATAGCCAGTGAAGTCACTCTGCAGTTTGAGAGATAATGTAAAATATACACAACATCTGCATGGATTCATATTGACAGAGACAACAGAAATGTAACATAGAAATTACTTCAAGCAAGTTTACAGCATTAAATGTATAAAGGATTATGTCAAATGTTTAAATCAAACACGTTGAGGTGCTATGATACGGTGTATCAATATATGTTCTGGGAATGTTTTAAAAATGTTATATATCTATGTGAATATTGAACATAGGAAAATACAACAGAGATTGTTCTAGGATCCATCCTAGGATTGATGGTGTTTAATATATTTATAAAATGATCTAGGACAAAGGATTAACAGCAATGAAGCTAAATTTGTGGCCTGTTTAGGTGAGTCAAGTCTGGAGAATATTGTAAGGAATTTTGAAAGGATTTTAGAAACCTGGGTATTTAGAAAATACAATGGCAGAAGATGCTTAGTGCGAGCATGTACAAGGAAGAGTACACTGATAGGCACAAATCTGCTCTCACATTTCTGGGGTCTAAAATGAATTGGAAACTCAAGAAAGAGATATGGGCATATTTGGAGAGGACCTTATGAAATCTTCTGGACAAACTAAGCAATGTTCAAAAATGCAAATAAGATGTTAGTGCAGCCTAAGAAAGGGAGATAAAATACTGAACATACAACAATGATAAGTAATTCTACAAAATGATGATGCACCCGAACCTTGAATTCTATGTTCAATTATGGTTATCCTATTTCAAAAAAGGATATGGCAGAAGCAGAAGAGTTCTTGAGAAAGTGAATATTTTCTGGAAGCCTTTAAAGACAAACATATGAGAAGACATGATGTAGGTACACAGAATAATAAATGACCTACAATATATTAAATAAAAGCTCGTATTTACCCCTTTTAAACCAGCCAATACTTTGTTAACTTATATAATAACTACAGGTTGAACCTCTCTAATCTGGTACTCTCTGGTCCTGCAACATCTGTGGTCTGGCATGATTTTAGTTAGCTGGATGTCCACTTATCATGGACGTGCCAAGTTTCCTGGAGTCCCATAAATTTGTTTAAAACCACAGCTCTTGGCTCTCTGTGCTGTTATTTAGCTCTAATTTACCCTTAAATGTCTTCTAAGAGCAGTGGAAGTGGTGCCAATGCTGTTAGACAATATTAACAGCCTGTGATTCATCAAATTTTCTGGTTCTGCACTAGTCATGTCTAGAGGGTTGTGGACTAGAGAGGTTCAACCTGTAGTAAAAGGAAAATTTTTAATATACACTATGTGTATATAGTTTGCCTCTAGGATTCAAAAGAAGAGTATACATCTATTCTTTGGTTATAGTAGCTGAAATAAAATATAAAATGTATAAATTCTCATATTCAGACT